TTATTTAGGTTAAAATCTAATTGTGAAATGGAAAGCCTTAAAACTGTTATTTTTTAAAAAAAAGGATTATATTTTACCTCAGGAAGAAATGATTTACTGAATAAGAAACAAAATGCAAGAATCAAATGAAAAGACTGATAAAGTTGAATAAAAAACTCCTATGTGTCAAAAGGCTATTGATGGAAAAACTAGTCTACAAGCAGTCAAATGATTTATTCAAGATTATATGCTAATAAGTAGTAGAGCCACAATTCAAACATAGTCTTCGGACTCTAATACTAATTTATTTTGCATTCCTTTTAATTTTTAATTACATAATTAACACATTATATTCTTTCATAAAAATTTGAACACAAAGAAAATAATACCTTTGATCACTTTCCCCAGTTCCAATTTCCAGTATCCTCCCCAGATTTGTACATATACTTTTAGGACTTTTTTCTTGGGTATTTGTATATATAATAAAAATACAAATGCATTTTCAAGTGGTTTTATAGTGTACTTATTGTTCTGCAACTTTTCTTTTAAAAATCATGGCTTAAAGAACTTTCCATATCAGTACAGCATTCTACAGTGTGAATATATTAGCACTCATTTATTCAATTTTCTATTAATTGAATTTTAGGCTGTTTTCAGTATTTTGCCCCTTGGTCATATAAATAGGATAGACATCTGAAATGAATTTTCTAAATCATAATGAATATATGTTTTAAATGGTGATAATGCCAAATTACTTATACTGGTATATACACTTACTACTACTGTATCTAGATATACATTTCTCAATTATTAATATTTTTCATTCCTGATGTTATTAATATTTTTAATATTTTGCCAGTCTGATGTGGAAAATATGGGATAATGCATTTCCCTAGTAATTATTAGTGAGGCCATTTCCTCCTCTCAGCAGCCAACTCTGCTCTCTAGAGGTAAGAGGCAACCACATTTTCAACTCTTATAATTGTCTTTTCTAGTAGACCTACTCCTGTATTTCTAAATATGTTTATATTGCCATTTCTTGATGTATTAATTATCTATTGATTTCCTATTAAGAGAGATGAGGATTTAGTACAAGTTCCTATATATTTTGCATGTTTATTATTTGCCTACTATACGTGTAAGCAAATATCTTGTCTGTCTCTTATCATGATTGTCTTATGGTATATTCCTTAAAGCTTTTAGGTTTTATGTCTTGCCCAAGGATGTCCCTACTTCACAGTAAAAACCCATTTCCTATAGTTTCTTCTAAAACATTCTGAGTTGTGGTTTTAACATTTTCTCCATCTGGAATTTATTTCTGTGAATGGTGTAAGGTAGATTACTCTTTTTTTCAAAATGGTTAGCCAATTGTTCAACACCATTTATTCAATAGTTTATTATGTCCTAAAACATCTTCTCTAAAATATCCAAAAATTGCATCAAATGTCTGAACCATTTCTGGAATATCCATTTAGATCTATTGGTCATTTTGTATCCCCTTGTTCCAATATCACAATGTACTACATTTCTTTTTAATGATAGCTAAATTATGGAAAGAACCCAAATGTCCATCGACCGGTGAATGAATAAAGATTACACACACACACACACACACACACACACACACACACACACAATGGAATATTACTCAGCCAAGGAAAGAATGAGATCTTGCCATTTGCAATGACATGGATGAAACTAGAGAGTATTATAAGTGAAATGTCAGTCAGAGAAAGACAAATACTATATGATTTCACTCACATGTGGAATTTAAGAAACAAAGCAGATGAACAGAGGGGGAAAAAAAAGAGAGGAAAACCAGAAAACAGATTCTTAACTATAGAGAACAAACTAAGGGTTATTAGAAGGGAGGTGGGTGGGGAAGGGGTTAAATGGGTGATGGGTACTAAGGAGGGCACTTGCTGTGATAAGTACTGGGTGTTGTATGTAAGTGATGAATTATTAAATACTATACCTGAAACTAATATTACACTGTTAACTGGAATTTAAATAAAAACTTGAAGAAAAAAATAATAAAATAAAAAATATCTTAAAACATTTTCCTTTTTCAAAATTTATAGTTACTAATTTTATTTTTCTTTTTTTATATACAGCTTATATTACTTTCAGGTGTACAATATGTATAATTAAACAATTCTATACATTATTCAGTGCTCAAGATAAGTGTGTTCTTGATCCCATTTATCTATTTCACCCCTCTCCCTAACCTCCTCCTCTCTGGCAACAAGAGATTTGTTCTCTATAATCAAGAGTCTGGTTTTTTGCTTGTCTCTTTTTCTCTTTGTTCATTTGTTTTGTTTCTTAAATTCCACATATAAGTGAAACCATATGGTATCTGTCTTTCTCTTATTTCACCCTCCAGATCCATCCATATTGTTGCAAATGACAAGATTTCATTATTTTTTTATGGATGGGCAATATTCCATTGTGTATATATACCACATCTTCTTTATCCAGTCATCTGTGGATGGACACATGGGTTGCTACCATATATTGGCTATTGTAAATAATGCTGCAATAAACACAGGGGTGCATATATCTTTTCAAATGGGAGTTTTTGGTTTTTGGATAAATATCCAATAGTGTAATTACTAGATCATATGGTATTTCCATTTTTGATTTTTTGAGGAGCTTCTATACTGTTTTTCACAGGGGCTGTATCGATATGCATTCCCACCAACAGTTCATAAAGCTGGAGGCATCATAATCCCAGAATTCAAGATACACTATGAAGCTGTAGTAAAACAGTATGATACTGGCACAAGAACAGACACATAGATCAATAAACAGAATAGAGTCCAGAAATAAACCCATGTTTACATGGTCAATTAATCTATGATAAAGGAGGCAATAATACACAATGGTGAAAAGACAGTCTCTTCAACAAATGGTGCTGGGAAAACTAATTTGCCTGTCATCCTTGCCCAGGGGCCATGCTAATTTTCTCTGTATCATTCCAATTTTAGTATATGTGCTGCCAAAGCAAGTGCTGGGAAAACTAAATGGCTACATGCAAAAGAATGAAACTGGACCACTTTCTTACACTATACACAAAAATAAACTCAAAATGGACTAAAGACCTAAATGTTGAGACCTGAAACCATAAAACTCTTAGAAGAAAACAGTCAGTAATTTCTTTGACATCAGCTGTAGAAATATGTTTCTAGATATGTCTCTTCAGGCAAGGAAAACAAAAGCAAAATTAAGCTATTGATACTACACAAAAATAAAAAGCTTTTGTACAAAGGCACCTGGGTGGCTCAGTCCATTAAAGTTTCCTTCAGCTCAGGTCATGATCTCATGGGTCTTGGGATCCAGCCAGGGTGGGGCTCTGCACTCATTGGTGAGTCTGCTTAAAAGATTCTCTCCCTCCGCCCCTCCTTCCCGCTCACACTCATGTTCCCTCTCTCTAAAATAAATAAGTAAATCCTTTTTTTTTTTTAAAGATTTTATTTATTTGAGAGAGAGAAACAGAGAGCTCGAGCAGGGAGGGGTAGAGGGAGAAGCAGACTCCCCCCTGAGCAGGGAGCCTGACGACATGGGGCTCCATCCCAGGATCCTGGGATTATGACCTGAGCAGAAGGCAGATGCTTAACAGACTGAGCCACCCAGGCGCCCCATAAATAAATAAATCTTAAAAAAAAAAAAAGCTTTTGTAAGGTGAAGAAAAACATTAACAAAACAAAAAGGCTACCTGCTGAAGATATTTGCAAATGATATATCCAATAATGGGTTAATATCCAAAATATATTAAGAACTGATATACCACCAGAAAAACCCCACAAATAATCCAATTTAAAAATGGGCAGACGACATGAATAGACATTTTTTCCAAAGAAGACATACAGACGAAACACACATGAAAAGATGCTCAACATCACTCATAATCAGGGAAATGCAAATCAAAACCACAATGAGATGTCACATTACACCTGTCAAAATGGTTAAAATCAAAAACACAAGAAACAACAAGTGTTGGTGAGGATGTGGAGAAAAACATTTTTTTTCTTAAGAATTTTATTTTTTTAAAGATTTTATTTATTTATTCATGAAAGACAGAGAGAGAGAGAGAGACATAGAGGCAGAGAGAGAAGCAGCTCTCCAAGGAGTAGGAAGCCCGATTCTGTACCTGATCCCAGGACTCTGGGATCATGACCTGAGCCAAAGGCAGATGCTTAACTGAGCCACCCAGGTGCCCTTTTCTTAAGAATTTTAGAAATATTTCTTTAAAAATAAGTAAATTCTGATGACACCTGATTGGAATAACACTGTATTTATGGATCAATTTGAAGAAATCCAGTTTTCTTTCTATTACCATTAGGCAGACTTGACTTTCAGGCTCAATATTTATTAGGCAAATTCAGTTTTTATCATTTAAAAATAAAGAAGCAAACCTATACTAACTAATTTACTCAGGTGTTTTCTATGGTACTTAGCTAAAAAATAAATTCTTGAAGAGGCCATATTTATGATGAAAGTGATGCTTTAGATCTTTTAATATCATCAACTTTGTTTCCTTATCATCAAAAGAAAAATGAATAAGGATTATTTCTGTAACCTCAGAACATTTTCTATATAATTACCTATTTATAAAATCAAAATTGGCTAATTTATGATTATTTAGTATTGGCCGTTTATCATTACCAAAACTGAATAGCAGAAGCCAATGATTAATGATATTGATAAACATACTGTTAAGTTCCAGCATAGAATATTTGAAAATTCAAGTTGTTCCACATATTCCATAACTTCCTCAAAATTCTAGAATTAAATACCAACTTTAGCTCTAGGTAAAAATAAAGACTTAATTTGGGACCATTATTAGTGTGAATAATTCATTTATTCATTATTTGCTCATTCATTCATTCAACATTATAATTTTAGAAAACAATGAATGCTCTGAACTGTGCTACAAGTTAGGTACAAAATAATAGTAAGAAACACCTTCATTCAAGAATGAGGAAAATAAATGCAAGAATAATGGTATTTGTAATACTCACTTTCCCTTCGTCTCTTGGGCTATCACTTAAATGTACAACTGGACCTGGATGAGTCTTTGTGGATCTGTTAAATCAATTCAAAATAGTAATTAAAAAATAGTAATTAAAAAATAAAAATTAAAACACCTTACCATTATAGACTGGAACAAAGAAGTTACTCTGGAATACACCCCCAATATTCTCAGGTTTAAACTTAGATTCATTTGAGTTTTGGTAGTTTTTCTTTAAGACTACTTTTTTTTCTCTTATTAACTCTATTAAAGGAGGTGTAATTTTTTTTTTAAATCAGGTTTAAGAGCATAGATCCACATAACAACAGGATTCTTCATTTCTATAGCATAAAAATTATATACTTGGGAGACAATATTAATAATGAAAGTGATGCTTTAGATCTTTCATGTTATCATCTTTGTTTCTTCATTATCAAAGAAAAATAATGAATAGTCAAGATGAATTATGTCTTTTCATCAAATTATGAATTTATGAATTGGTATTTATATGTTTGTTGCCAGATCTAAGCCTCTGAAAATTTGAAATTGAACTTATACAGACAAAGAAAACTTACATGGCCACAAAGCTAATGCTATAAGGCTGTTTCAGCCAAATTGCAAAGTACATAACTGACTTACAACTTCCTTTGACATAAAACCTCTGATTTTACTCCTAAGAAAAGTATAATAGCTCCTTTGATTTACAAAGAAATTCTGTCTAGTGATAGCCAGCTTACAGAAAACTGACAAACTGGGGAAACCTAGTTTGCTGGTTATGTCTCATTTATTTGGTTATCCAGGGTACTCAATAACAGCTAACTATGTGTCTAAGCGCATATTATTAAAAAGACCTGTGCTCTGTAAATCTGACTTTAAAAATATTCTACTCTGTTATCTGGCATGTTTCTTTTATATTTCCTACTTTGACATATCATTGTTGAATATGATTATGTCATGTTTAAATACAATATGACCTGATATGACTATAGATTTATTATTGCTCATTTTCCACATCTTTTCTTCAACAAATTATGCCAGATTAATCCTATTATGATTATATTGACATAGTTTTAATTTATTTCTTTTTTAAATATAATTTATTTCTTATGCATACATGAAAACCATCAAAGATTCTTCACAAAATAGTAAAGAAGAATAAATTTTAAAACTTTCTGGGATCAGATAAAAGTGACAAATTAACTCCAGGTTTCCCAGATACTGACTCCCCACCGTGACTCAGAGGAATAAATACAGACTTATTAGATATTTTGTTATCGGTTTTATCCTAAATTTTCTTATCTAAAAATGGAGATAGTAGTACTGATCTTACTGAGTAATTACAAGGATTAGGATATTTATATATAGCACCTAATATAATGCCAAAACATAGTAAGTACTCAATGCATAGTATGTATTATGACTGTTGTAATCACTGGAATAATTGGAAAGTAGAGTTATTATCTGCATTCTAAATGCAATGTTTTATTAGAGTAAGGTGCCTCTCATAGGGAACAGTGTCCTTCAATTATCCTTTGAAAACTAATAATATCCAATAACCTACAAATTCCTGTTTCTTGGGTATGATTAGAACAACAAATACCAAAGTGTACTCCATGATAAACTAATGAATATATAAGGTATTCCACATAAAGAGTGTTCCATATCAAAAAAGTTTGGGAAGCCCTGAATTAAACAAAGTTAAATATTTTTTTTCTTCTACAAAGCTTCTTAGAGCCATAATATGCAAGTGAGTACTGAAATCTTCAATATTTTCCCAAAGTACTAGCCCATAGAATTATTTCTTATTGACCATATTAAGGGAATCACTGAAATATACTTTGAGAAACACTAGTTAGACCATATGCAAAACTCTTCCATTTAGATTCTCAGAGTTTGTAAAACACTCAAGTTCAGAAAATAATTTAGCATTAAACTTCAGTTATTTGTATTGACTTTTTCAGACTATAGAAGATATATTATTTGTTGTAAAAAAAAATTCCAAACTTAGAAGATACTAATAGTCAAAAGAAAAAAAAATCTCTCATATTATTTTACTGCCTGAATATAATGACTACTAACATTTTGATACATTTTTTCTGACTTTCCCCCTGACATTATACTTCCAAAAACCATCAAGCATTCCTTGAAAGGCTTATGGCCATTAAAAATTGACTTAAAAAATAAAAATTTGTGTACACTCTGGTGTGTTGGTGTACACTCTGGATTCTGTAATTCCTACAAAAATTACTTTAGATAGAATTATCTAAAGTAATTAAACTTAAAATCATATAATATCCATCTAAATAATGCCCAATAATTCTTCTAGTTATCCCTATTTATCTCTCTTCCTCTCATTTACCATGATGGCTTCTTTAGTTTCTTTTATGGGCCTTCTTTCTCTTCCTATATCTTAAATATTGATATTCCTTTGTATTCTATCCTGGTCTGTCATCTATTCTCACATAATATATGGTCATGAATTCAAGAGCACACAGGAGTCAGGCAGGTATTGCAAATGAAGCAAACAGGCTGAATGAGAACTGTACCAAACTGGATAGTACATTATCCACCTACAGAAGGAAAGTTGTTACTCAGTTCCAGCTGATTACTGACTGCCATGCAGGAATACCGAACCAGAATTGTCTCATTATGAATTTTCATGAAAATCTGGAAATCCAAATTTTTATTTCTACTCTACCAATTTTCAAATATTAGAACTCAGAACATATTTAAATACTCGGATAGCCAAACAAAACAGATATCTGTGAGTCAGAATTAGTTGACCGTCTGCTAGGTTGCTACCTGTTTTCTATACACTCTTCATGCGCAATCTCATCTTTTCAATGACCATAAATTCTTTTTTTCTTAACTGTTCAAATTCTTATACTTTTTCTTTCTTTTATTTATTTTTTATTATGTTATGTTAATCATCATACTCTATCTCATTACCGTCAGATCCATATATCTCACTTCCTACCATTTTCCCATACCAATTCCATTTGAATGTCTTATAAACAATATAACTCAAACTACCTAAAATTGAGTTCATTATTTTTTTCTCAACCTGCTCAATCTCCTGCTTTCTTTCACTAAATGACACCCTTATCTACTTAGTTACTCAAGCCTAACACCTGGGGGTCACTCTTAATTCTTTTTTTTTTTTTGGAAAGATTTTATTTATTTGACAGAAAGAGACACAGCGAGAGACGGAACGCAAGCAGGGGGAGTGGGAGAGGGAGAAGCAGGCTTCCCACGGAGCAGGGAGCCCAATGCGGGGCTCGATCCCAGGACCCTGGGATCATAACCTGAGCCGAAGGCAGACGCTTAACGACTGAGCCACCCAGGTGCCCCCACTCTTAATTCTTCTCTATTGTTATATCTTCCCATAATACCCAAGTCTTGCCTCTTCTATCTTCTATGTATTTAATTATGTCAGCTTATCTCCACTCCTAAATCAATGAAAATGTTTACCAAGAATACAGTCTTCTCTCTTTAATCATTTCTCTATACCTGCCTTCAGAGTAGTCTTCCTAAATGCAAATTTGATCAAGTCAATTCTCTGCTTAAAACCCTTCAAAATCCAGCTCCTGGCCTTTAAGTCCAAACTTCTCAAACTGGCCTACAAGGCCTTTCATATTATATACCCTGATTACCTCTCCTCAACCTTTATCTTTTATCATATTCTCTTTCAGGTATTCCAACCAACTAAACTACTTAAAATTCCTGTGCAGGGAACAAAAACTCTCTCACATTCCATTCTTTAAATCTTCTATCCCCTCTTCTTAGAACACCCCCACCCCTCTCTCCCAAGTCTTCCCTCAACTAACTAAAATTCTCAGGCTCTGGATCTCAACATAGATGTAATTTCCTTCACAGATACTTCTCTGAGACCACACGTTAGGTGTCCTTCTTATGGAATTGCCACATTTTATTTCTAATATTTTATAATTGCCTTTTTAATTAATCTCATTAGACTGAAAGCCCCAAGAGGACAGTAACTATGTCTTCCCAGTTCATAGTTGTTTCTAGTATCTAGCATACCATAGAGCACAATAAATATGTTTGAGTGATTGTTATACACAAGTCTTACACTTATGATTTAATAATCAATTTCATGCTCAAACATTAGTCATATGTAGAAAAAATAGGTTACATTTTTTAAAAAGCTAGGACTGCTCTGCAGAAACATCTATTTCTATAGTATAATCTGGAATATATTTTCCCATAGAAAAAAATTTTTAATGTCCATTTAGTTCTATGCTACTATTTTATGAGGTGTTCTACAAACACCACTGTTTCTAAGGAAAATGTGTTCCAATTTCCAAATAATCAATATATATACTTTGGGAACACAAACTATAATTATGAGAACTGCCTAAAGTTATAATTAAGAGACTTCACTAATATTAGAAACAAAATGAAAAATAACATTGAATAAAAAGTATTTTAAGTAGGAACTTGAAATAATTTCACGTATCTCTTAAAGACAATTCGGCATTTGCCATACTTAGAAAATGTATTGTTAAAATCTGTGTGTAAAATTCTATTAACGAAACGACTCTTTTAAACAAATATTTTATTACTGTCCCATACACTTGACACATATTAACAGGAAGTGGCATGCATTTTCTAATGGATCTCAATAGGTAGAGAACAATTAAAAGACAGTTCTAGGAGACTGGCAGTTGGCATTTAAAATTATATAGATCACAATGGATCTATAATTCCATGTAATACACTTTTGGAAAACTGGTCTAAGTAAACCAAGAAACATTCAGGAGATGATATTGTCTAATAATAATTTCTAGAGGATATTTCAGGACATTTTCAGAGGCATGTACAACTCTCTAACAGATCAGATTTATATAAATGGTAGTTTCTATTCTTATGCTATATCAAATGTGTAAGATCATAATATGAAAAATAAAAGTGCTTTATTTTACTTTAGTTTCTCTTAATTTTACCCTCCTTTTTAGTTTTTAAATTCATCATTAATCCTGAAATCATAAAGTTTAAACTATATAAATACATAGAGATAAAGTATAGGTCACTAATTCAGGTAGTATTAATTTAAACTATGAAAAGTATTTGTTAAGTATATGAATATGGAAACAAAATAGCAAAAGTGGTGAAATACTGGATCTATTTAGATAATGAACTTCTTAATTAGCAGCATTCACCTGAAAACAAATAATACATATATCACTATTTGTACTAATATTAAATTTGTATAAAAGTTCTATAATTCAATCTCTCAAGTTTATTTACATTTTTGTCAATATCCTAAGAAAATTATGAAAGCAAGCATTAAGTTCAGCCCTATTTACCACTTTTATACAACTCAGGTTATAGTGGTAAAACCTTTCCCAAATAGCTACAGAATTAAATAATTTTTTGGGAGACATAATTCTGTTTTTAAAATACACATATAGAACATTAAAACATGTATCAGTAAAATAGCACATACTAATTATAATTGTAAATGAAAGCTCTAAGTCAATATTAGTGTGTAACTATCATACTAGTTCTTCAATAATGTCATCAGTCATTTAGTAGCCACTCTGTGGAAAGTACCAAAATAAGCCAAGTTTTAAAAGAAAAATAAAGGAGCAGTGAACAAAGATTTTGCCCTGGGGCCGTTCTTAATCTAATCAGGGAGGGAGAATTATCAATAACAAAAGACCCATTAGGACATAATACAAAAGGAATATTGTAACAAGAATATAATTAGTAACAACTTTCCTATACATACAGGCACACTGAAACATTAAAAATAGGGAATAGTAGATTTATTATAAAGACCAGACTCAAGCCTCATTTAAACAGGTTGTTTTAATCAGAGTTCTGGAGAATAATTATGTAACTCAGAATATATATATGAAAATGAGCCAGCCCCAAGTTAAACATATCTTATTAAGGACATAATATGCACAGAGCATAAACATTTATTAAAGAAAATTTGTTTTTCTGATTAACACAGTGACCAGGAGAATTATTCGTTTACATACAAAAAGATGGCTTGGAATTCCATTACGTTTTACATGTGCATAAACTTAAGTATCAGTGCCAAAGTCAAAGTGGTAATTACCACTAACCACATATCCAAATAGCTGTATTATGTCACAACATAAAAAATATTGATAAGTTAATTCTCTTTAGAACCCTGAACAATATGTTAGTCAGGCAAGTGAAGAATGAGCTACTGGCAATAAAAAATATGTGAACTAATCATGATTATTTTTACCTAAAACTAAATGTGATCACAATCCACTTGCCATTCCCATTGGAAGCGGCTATATTAAAAACGGCTATAAAAAAGTGAGATGATTTCCATTTATAACTTTTAGAATAAGCTTTAGTATTTTATCATCAAATTTTACATACAAAACCCTTAATTATTCAGAAATCCTTAAGTATTCAGGAAGTCTAAAATTAGAATATGTTAATATTACAATAGTTTTTAAAGTCTTTACAGTTTTAAATTATTTTAGCTAAACTTTTCACTCAAATTAATCATAAATTAGCTATAAATGTTTCAAATAACTCTGTAATTTGACACGCTTTACATAACCATATGAAATATTCAAGCCAAATAAAGTGGTATTCAAGTTCAAACTTACAGCTCAATTGCCTTGTTCCACATGATAACATATCCAGAAAGAATGAAAGATTCAATATTTACAATATGTGTATTTCCTCTTTCTGTTCCAACATAGAGCCATTTACTCTGGAAAGGTAGATGACAGTAAGTAATTCTGAAAGAAAGAAAATTACAATTAAAATATCTAAATTTTATGTTTGGTCAGCATTATATTTTCCTTATATTTATTAGGTAGTGATAGCTACATAAACAACAAAATTTACTATACACTCAAGTAGCATTTAGGTATTAGTAGAGGGTAGAGGATAAAAAACAAGAGTATACCATTAAAAAGAATAATGATAATAATAACCACTAATAAATAAGTGTCTACCATGGGCATTAACATATATTGTTTCTAATTCTTTCCAGAATTAGAGCACTCCAAGATAGATATATAATTCTATTTTATGAAGAGGAAACTGAGGCCAAGAACTTTTATTTTTACTTTCATTGGACTGACAGCTAGTAAGTGGCAAAACCAGGATTCAAATCCATTCCTGTTTGGTTGCAAAATTAGCAAATTTCTACACTGGTGGTTTTTCTTTGGTAATATTCACTTCAAATAGAAATTAGGTACATCTGAAACATACATTCATAGTTATCATAGAAATTGTAGCTTTTTAAATATAAGAACATAAATTATTTACTTTTTATTCAGATGGTTGGCATCTTACTAATATAAAGAAAGCTTATAAGATCAGGGATCTAATCTACTATTTTATTTATTTATTTATTTTGTTCTGCCTTTATTTGCACAATGGGCCTTCTGACCAATTCTGGGAAATTATTCTATAGCCAAAGAAACCATGATTCCTATAAATGAAATCTGGGAATTTACCAGAATCTTCTATTCATCGAGTGTCACTCTTTCTAGTTTTGCCTACTCCCACTCCTTTTAAATACTCATAATAAAAGGGGGGGGAGATAAGTTCACAGTTATCCCTTGCCAGAACCTGTTATTGAATCATAATATTTGCTAGAATTTATTCAGAAAAAGAGCTGGTAAATTGTTAGAAGAGGAGGACAGAATTCTGATGCCAGGCAGACAGACAAATATGGGGGAAAAAAGTCAGGGAACGTAAATGGTAAATTCCCAACAAAATTCCATCTTGTACTTCTTTTATATAAGAGTGAACATCCAGTCTGTCGAATTTATATTCTCATTCTGGTTCATTGAATTATTCAACAGTCTACCTTTCTAAACCAAACTTCATTTATCCAAAAGTATTCTGCTGAAAGCCCCTTGCACATTACAACAAAAAACCTAGAAATCCTGATATTACTTATACACTTACGGTTATTTGAGGGTCTAATTAAAGTGTAACCTATATGGTGTTGGACAATTCTGATAAAACCTAAAGTCTAGAATTGCTGTTGCCAAGGGATATTTAATAATGTCCCACAGGAAATAACTTGATAGTCATGTTTCTAGGCCATGAAGCATCTATTTTCAATTCAGTGTAAGTAGAAAAGGGAAACTCATTTTAAACAGGATTTAAGATCATCTTTTCTGAATCACCAAAAGAGTAGAAAAAAACACTAGTCCCAATAAGTAGACAAAAATTTAGGAGTTCAGGTAGAAAAAGAGCAAACTTCAATATGACATGGTCATTTCCAAGGTTGAGAAGAAAAGTCTAAAAACTGCCAGGTTTCAGTAATAAGACCTGAAGCAAGGGTCCCTGGGTGGCTCAGATGGTTAAGCATCTGCCTTCAGCTCAGGTCATGATCCCAGGGTCCTGGGATCGAGTCCCACATCGGGATCCCTGCTCCTTGGGGGCCTGCTTCTTTCTCTCTCTCTGTCTCTCATGAATAAATAAATAAAATCTTAAAAAAAAAGAGCCAATATTATAAAAAAAAAAAATAAGACCTGAAGCAAGAGGCAGAATTCCAATAAAGACAATCTTTACAGGGGAATGATGAAATACATGAAAAAGATCCAAATAGGATTAGAAGCCGTTTCAAATAGAAATGGAAGGAAAACTTCCAAACTCTTTTTATGAGGCCAGCATTACCTTGATCCCAAAACCGGACAAAGACCCCACCAAAAAGGAGAACTACAAACTGAGGGTTCTAGAGGGGAGGGGGTGGGGGGATAGGTTAGCCTGGTGATGGGTATTAAGGGGGCACATACTGCATAGAGCACTGGGTGTTATACGCAAGCAATGAATCATGGAACACTACATCAAAAACTAATGATGTAATGTATGGTGATTAACATAACATAAGAAAATAAATAAATTTAAAAAAAAAAGGAGAACTACACCAATATCCCTGATGAACATGGATGCGAAAATTCTCACCAAAATACTAGCCAATAGGATCCAACAGTACATTAAAAGGATTATTCACCACGAACAAATGGGATTTATTCCTGGGCTGCAAGGGTGGTTTAACATCCGCAAATCAATTAATACATTAATAAAAGAAAGAACAAGAACCATATGATCCTCTCAATAGATGCAGAAAAAGCATTTGACAAAGTACAGCATCCTTTCTTGATTAAAACTCTTCACAGTGTAGGGGTAGAGGGTACATACCTCAATATCATAAAAACCACCTCTGAAAAACCCACAGCGAATATCATTCTCAATGGGGAAAAACTGAAACCTTTCCACCTAAGGTCAGGAACATGGCAGGGATGTCCACTATCACCACTGCTATTCAACATAGTACTAGAAGTCATAGCCTCAGCAATCAGACAACAAAAAGAAAAAAAAGGCATCCAAATCGGCAAGAAGAAGTGAAACTATCACTTTTTGCAGATGATATGATACTTTATGTGGAAAACCCAAAAGACTCCACCCCAAAACTCCTAGAACTCAAAAAGGAATTCAGTAAAGTCGGAGTATATAAAATCAAAGCACAGAAATCGGTTGCATTTGTATACACCAACAACAAGACAGAAGAAAGAGAAATTAAGGAGTCGATCCCATTTACAATTGCACCCAAAACCATAAGATACCTAGGAATAAATCTAACCAAAGAGACAAAGGATCTGTACTCAGAAAACTATAGAATACTCATGAAAGAAACTGAGGAAGACACAAAGAAATGGAAAAATGTCCCATGCTCATGGATTGGAAAAACAAATACTGTGAAGATGTCAATGCTACCTAGAGTAATCTACACATTTAATGCAATCCGTATCAAAATACCACCCACTTTTTTCAAAGAAATGGAACAAATAATCCTAAAATTTGTATGGAGCCAGAAAAGACCCCAAATAGCAAGAGAAATGTTGAAAAAGAAAAGCAAAGCTGGCGGCATCACAATTCCAGACTTCAAGCTCTATTACAAAGCTGTCATCATCAAGACAGTATGGTACTGGTACAAAAACAGACACATAGATCAATGGAACAGCATAGAGAGCCCAGAAATGGACCCTCAGCTCTATGGTCAACTAATCTTTGACAAAGCAGGAAAGAATGTCCAATGGAAAAAAGACAGTCTCTTCAACAAACGGTGTTGGGAAACTTGGACAGCCACATGCAGAAGAATGAAACTGGACCATTTCCTTACACCACACACAAAAGTAGACTCAAAATGGATGAAAGACCTAAATGTGAGACAGGAATCCATCAAAATCCTTGAGGAGAACACAGGCAGCAACCTTTTTGATCTCAGCCGCAGCAACTTCTTCCTAGAAACATCGCCAAAGGCAAGGGAAGCAAGGGCAAAAATGAACTATTGGGACTTCATCAAGATAAGAAGCTTTTGCACAGCAAAAGAAACAGTCAACAAAACCAAAAGACAACTGACAGAATGGGAGAAGATATTTGCAAATGACATATCAGATAAAGGGCTAGTATCCATAATCTATAAAGAACTTCTCAAACTCAACACCCAAAGAACAAATAATCCAATCAAGAAATAGAAGACATGAACAGACATTTTTCCAAAGAAGACATCCAAATGGCCAACAGACACATCAAAAAGTGCTCAACATCGCTCAGCATCAGGGAAATCCAAATCAAAACCTCAATGAGATATCACCTCACACCCGTCAGAATGGCTAAAATTAACAATTCAGGAAACGACAGATGTTGGCGGGGATGCGGAGAAAGGGGAACCCTCCTACACTGTTGGGGGGAATGCAAGCTGGTGCAGCCACTCTGGAAAACAGTATGGAGGTTCCTCAAAAAGTTGAAAACAGAGCTACCCTATGACCCAGCAATTTCACTACTGGGTATTTACCCCAAAGATACAAATGTAGGGATCCAAAGGGGCACGTGCACCCCAATGTTTATAGCAACAATGTCCACAACAGTCAAACTATGCAAAGAGCCAAGATGTCCATCAACAGATGAATGGATAAAGAAGATGTGGTATATATATACAATGGGATATTAGGCAGCCATCAAAAAATGAAATCTTGCCATTTGCAATGATGTGGATAGAACTAGAGGGTATGATGCTAAGCAAAATAAGTCAATCAGAGAAAGACAAGCATCATATGATCTCACTGATATGAGGTATTTGAGAAACAAGACAGAGGATCATTGGGGAAGGGAGGGAAAAATGAAACAAGACGAAACTGGAGAGGGAGACCATAAGAGACTCTTAATCTCAGTAAACAAACTGAGGGTTGTTGGAGTGGAGGGGCTAGGAGGGATGGGGTGGCTGGGTGATGGACATTGGGGAGGGTAGGTACTATGATGAGCATTGTGAATTATGTAAGACTGATGAATCACAGAGCTGTACCCCTGAAATAAATAATACATTATATGTTAATAAAATTTTTTAAAGTATTCCTTGAACCAATACTATGAAATTTTACCTCATTCTTATTGACAAGAAACTAGACCCCTGATAACATAAGGGTTTCGTCTTATGTCCAATGTCCAACTGATGGGTACTGGTTAAACAACTGATGAAGAAAGACCCCAGACTTTATTTGAATCCAATAAAAAAGAGTAATGGGGTTTACTTAAGATGCTTGACAAGGGTGAGGGAGAGGGCATGATTACACTTATGCTATATATTTGATAGCCCTAATAAGTAACTAATCAATACTTTATTGAATTTAATAGCTATACTTTTATTTGTAATGCATTTCTACCACCATCACCTGCAAACTGAAGAATTTTCTGTTATATAGGAACCCTAGAAAAA